TTTATATTTTTATTACATTCTTCTATTTTTGAAGAATATATGCTCCAAATTTCAAGTGATTTGGATTTGTAGAAAAATAAATAAAAATTCAAACACGAAATGACGTCATGACAGTCAGATCGGCCCAGATTCAATCTGAGCCATTGGCTGACACTAGAGCTATCAACCCGTGGGCTGACAGGATCTTTTCCCTATATATATATATATATATATATATGATCTAAAAGGTAGACTATAAAGAAAAAGAAAGGCCTAAAACTAATGAGAATCTCAAAGAAGTCTGGCGTATATATACGCACATATATATGCACGTTCTGAAAGTGAGACTACATGGAATGTTTAGGGGAAATGGCATGTTCTTATAGAGGAAACTCCTCTTGCCCTACGAGGAAAAAAAAAAAATGATCTTATCTGGGCTGGTCATGGAGATCTTGCCAAAACATATATCCACAGGCAGATGTGTCGGGACTCAAAAGGTTCCATATAGTTGAGAAATTCATTAGCCTTAGTGTAAAGCAAGGAAAATAAGAAAACTGGGATCCTAACACAATGGCATTTTTGTTAAGTTTTTACAAGGGATTATTTAGAGAGGTATTTTAGTAAGCCCTAATGACCAAATGGTATTAGGATACAATTAGGATAACATTGAAAGGCATTTCAATCATAAATGGAATAATTCTAATTCAGGGACCATTTTTTTTTATAAAGTTGACTATTTGTATTGATAATTATAAGAGATACAGGTGAAAGAACAAAACAAAATTCAGGGACCATATTAAATAGGGACTCCGAGAGGTTACTTCTTTCTTCACTCCAGGGAACCTAAAATCAATGAACCAATTCTCTAAAACTCTCAGAGTCCCTCTCAGAGCTTTGGAGGAAACCACTTCTCTAACACTCTGAGAGCTTTGGAGGTATAATAGTTAGCTTATATTTGTAAGAAGAGGCTAACAACAAATAGGAGCATAGTTGCTAGGATCTCCCAACCTAGTCACGATCCGGCTCTAGAATCATGCTCCTATATTTCGGGAAAGGTATCTTCAAAGGATCTTGATTTTTAAATTTCAAGATCTTGATCCCGTGTTAGGGATCTCGATCCCTACCTTAATGACCAAGATAACAATAAAATGATGATTTTCAAGTCAGCTAGCGATGCAACTATACTTTCAATATAGTTGTATTGCTTGCCAGCTATAAACAAAGAGATCCCTACTAGGTACGTATTGTCCTAAACTATACCTATTGTCTAATGTTAAGAGCAAGTTCCCCAAAAGGTTGGGATCAAGATCCCAAAAGCTCTGGATCGAGATCCCAAACATTTCGGGATCTTGATACCTAACATATGCATTGTACGGATAACGCTCTGAACAAAAGGGATATTCTAGCCTTTCATGATTCCCTGCTCCCGGTTTGTTCTTGATCCCAACAACTATGGATAGAAGCTCTAGTTCAACAAGAAATGCAACCCCCATGAACCATTAGAATGTCCCTGTAGTTGTCTAATGGTCTCATAGGCAACAATAGAGACATTCTAATTGGATCATGAGGATAAGCTGGAAAGGTATAAAGCTTCTAGGAGCAAAAAGCTTACTGCTTTCGAAGTTGCTTCAAAAAAGTTTCGGAGGCTGACCTAGGTCAACAGGAGCTACACCACTGACTGTTTAGAAAAGGTGTATCTACACGAAGGCATGCTGCTGAGTTGATTTTCCAATATATACTCATTTTCTTATGTGTAGAATTTTGATCTTTTTAGGTTTCGCCCTATATTTTTAATGTAATTGAATTTTCAGAATGGAATTTGTTTCCCCATTTGGATGACAGCTGTGTGCTAAAATGAGTTTACTGAGTGAGCAATTCTTTTATTTGCAAATATTAGGAGAAGACAATAGCTACCATTGCTCAAATTATGAATCCTATAAACTGACAAGAATAACCATGACTATGGTTGCATACATAATTAAAACCAACATGCCTTTCTTATCTTAAAATCATATCTTTTTCGCTATAGGTTAAGCTAGATGGAAAACATAAACTCAAGGTTGAAACAACAAGCACCATCCAAGTAAGATATGGGCATAAATACCTTAAAAGTATAAAATCCCAGAAGGATGAAAAAAGTCATTTCCAGTTCAACCTTTATCAAATTCACATCCAACTTACGAGGCATTGAGTTTCTCATAAAAATGGAGGTGAGCTAACATCTCACATTGGTGTACCTCCATTTTTGCAGCAACTAAAATAATGAACAACATTTACTTTCCAAACGAAAAAAAGAAAAGAAAAGTGAACCATAATCTCATTATTTCTCAAAAGCAAACCATAATCTAATTGTGATAGATTATCAGCATTTCAGTATAAAGAGCATGAGGTTTTAGGCATCGAGTATAAAATGTACTGTCGTATATTAAAGTTACCAGATTCTTGAAGGCGCCCTGCAATATCACTGAAGCAACGCATGTGCTCCACAGAGGTACTGGTGACCTAAAAAGGACGGACAACAAATGAAAATAATATGTTACAACTGAGCTTCAAGAACCCACTAAAAAAACAAAATAAAATACACAACCAATTCATGTCAATTCCAAAAACTGTCTGAATTAATGCATGTGTGGCCCAACAAAATTGATTAAAAAAGAAAAAACAGCACCATGTGACCAAAATTTTTCTTTTTCTTTTTCTTTCTAATAGCAATGAGATACCAAAATTCTATGTCTTGATTTCATGGCTTCCATGGGATGATTGTTCTGCAAACCCCAAGGCTAATTTAACAAATGTTCTTGGTGGTTCTGATTTGAGGATGGGTTCCTGAGCTAATTGGTGATGTATCCTTCATTCAGTATATTCACTCCTTCAATTCAGTGATATTATTGCTGATCAAGAGGAACGCATTTTCCATTCCTGTTAAGCTCTAACTTCTAGAGTCAATAAATTAACTTTAAGAATTTCCATATTTAAATCTCGTGAGAGGAGGTTTACCTTACAATAATTGAATGCAACAATTCATAGTTTGACAAAAGATCACAGCAATGGCGTCATACTGACATTACTGCGTCAAATTTTGCATATAACAACAAGCTCAAGAATTTATGAATCATTTCAAAAGGAGCACAAAAAGTAAACGTTATTGTGTTGATTTTTTTATTTTTTTTTAACGTAAATGTTGTTGTGTTGAATTCTCAGGGTAAACAACCATAAAACTTGCAAGGATCAGCAAAAAACGAGAGAGAGAAAAAGCAGTAAAAGACCTCCGATAAAGCTAACCGTAAGGAGGAGAAGAGCGAGGTGAAGCTCCCAGCAATGGCGGTCGCATCTCTCTCTACAAATTCCAGAGCCTTGAGCATCTCATCGCTACAAAAAGGCCGCACCAATTCATCCTCACCCTTCGGTATTCCACATTGATTGGAACCATCTGCGACTGAAATTATAGTTTCGTGATCCGCTGCAACTCCATTTTCACTATCATCCACATTTAGGGTTTCGTGATCCCCTGCAACTACATTTTCACCATTTCTGGTAGCAAGGGCTTCCTGAGCCCCAGAATCTAGGGTTTCATGACCAACGGTAGCTAGGGTTTCTACTTGAGGTTGTGAAATTGTTCTCTCCATAACTGGAAGATAGGGTTTCCTTGTGGGGTTCTGCAACTTCAGTTTCGCGGGAAGACGAAGACGGGTGCATAGTGCACAGAGAACCATTCGAAAACCGTAACATGGGCATCGTATATGTTTATGGGAGTCTTAAACCTCCATCGCCCGTGCGTACAGAAAAGGGACGGATGATAGGAGCCTTTCTTTTCTGCTTTTGAAGAGAACCAGTGGAATAGGGAATCATCACCGTCCAATAGGCAGACAGACGGCAGTACAGAATGATAGTTTGCCAAATATTATACACGTGTATAATAAACGCGCCTTCACATAAAATAACAGTGAGGGTGGCAATGGACCCGAACCCGACCTGGGTCTGGGTATGCGTATGGGTTCAAGAGTGGGACCCGATAAGTCGGGGTAGGTCCGAACCCAAACACTATTAAGGTATTGGTTCGGGGACGTGAATAATGTTATTATATAAATGATATTTAATATTTATTTAATATTTATTTAATATTTAAATAACTGAAAATATACTAATATTAAATTAGGGTGTGGTTTTTACACGGTTGCAATCTTAAATAATCTATTTTCTTTCAAATTTTATCGTAACATATAATTTTGATGTAAAATATTTCTAAGATTATCTCAAAATCTATTTTCAAATCTAATTTAAAATTTTAAACTCCAAAAAAAATTAAAATCAAGTAGATCTATAAAGATATAAAAATCTTGAAAATGGACGGTCTAGATAATGTGTTATAAAATGCACCATTATCTGGGGCTCAAAATCCTTTTTTTCTTTCATAATCATACATCTCGATGTCAAGATGATCAATTCGAGAGTTTTTCATCATTAAAACAACTTTTACTAATGGATTTTTGAGGTGCATCCGCAGTTTTACATTTTAAAGTTGCAACCTTATATAAAACTTTTCCCCTCAAACAAATGTAACTATATATTTTTAGTTATGGGTTTGGTCTCTATAAGGTTGCAACCTTAAACAATCCAATTAAGACACTCCAAATTTTGTCATAATATGTAATGTTGATATTAAAAAGTATTAGGATTATTTTAAAATCTATTTTGATATTTAATTATAAAATTTTAAACTCCAAAAATGGTTATAATCAAGTAGGTCTATAAACATATGAAAATCTTGAAAATAGATGGTCCAAAAAATGTTTTTCAAGATGCACTATCTTTGGGACTCTATATATATATATATATATATATATATATATATT